TCTCTCTCTCTCTTTCTCTCTCTCTCTCTCACACACACACACACACACACACACACACACACACACACACACACACACACACACACACACACACACACACACACACACACACACACACACACACACACACACACTGATGTAGTTCCAGCCTACTGCCTGTCACAGTGCATGGATTTCAATGGAGCATACTCAACCATATTACCAACATCTGTCATGATGATTTGAGAAGAAAAAGCAGGTTCCTTCAACTAAAGTTGCTCTGAAAACATAAAATACTGCATGTGTGTGCAAGTGTGTATTATTTTATCCCTTGACAGTTATACAGTCCTGTGCTACCATCTACTGGAATAGACATGGAATTAAACCAGGTAATATTGCACTGAATTCTCAATTGGATTCAATAATTTGTAGTTGTATTCATTTATTGCATTATATTATGTATAATGCAATAAATTGATGTGTGTTTTGTCTTTTTGTGTGATATGGACCTTGAGTCTGGAATAAAGATTGGAATATAATATGTATGTTTCAACATGTATGTTTCAACATGTATGTTTACCATATCGCCACTATCAAACCTGGTGCCTGCAAACAACTCAACAAGCCAGCAAAATCATGTAGGCCCACACTTTTTGTCACGATCTGTCTGTGTTGTGTTTTGTCTTGTCTAGATCTGTCTTTGGTTTCCTGTCTGCGTTGTGTTTTGTCTTGTTTACATCTGTCTTTAGTTTCCTGTCTGTGTGTGTTCCCTCCTACCTGTTCCCTCCTACCTGTTTTCTTGATTGTGTTCACCTGGTGCCCCTGTGTTTTCTCCTCCCTCCTCACCTGTCTCTTGTTTCCTTGATTAGTCCTGTGTGTATTTAAGTTCTGTTTTTTCTGTCTGTCATTGTTGGTTCGTCTTTTGTTTGTGACTAAGTCTCCGGTGAGTGTTCTGTTTTGTCTTTATTTGTATCGAGTAGCCTTGAAATAAAGGAATTTTCAGTTTAAATCTGCATTTGGGTCCTGCCTGCTTCACACACCGCAACACTTTTTGGCTGACACTGAATGAGTTCCAGGAGATTTGACAAGAGTCGAGACATCTTTATATTTACCAGGGCAAAGTAACCACCTGTGATTTTAGATATGTTTGGATGGGATAAGTCAATGTTTCATATGGAAGCCTGTTTGCACTGCAGGAAAAAATAAATAAAAATCCGTTAAGTCAATATATTGACTTAGCTGTCTCCTTATATTGAGTTATATGTTTTTTCATTGAAACAATTGTGTCAAATACAGAATAAGGCACATACTGTAGACATCAATGTTCATCATATAAGCGGTACAACTTTATATTAAGGTACACAAATTAACCATCAACTAGTTGTTAATTAACATGCATATTGGCAGTATAATGGCTCTTTATTAGTCATTATAAAACACTTATTAATGCCTTATTCTACATGACCATATTCTACAAGTAATAAGCCATTAGTTGAGAGTTTTTCCTCAATAACCCTCTAATTAGTCCTTATTTATTGCAAGTAAGGAAGTTGTTGTACATGAGCTTTGGTCTTAATATGCTCTCCTCAATATTTCTAAATAACTCAAAATTAGGTATATCTAAGAATATGTTCCCTATTTTAAAGTGAAGTCTTGTTCATAACCAATAAGTTAGTAATTTGACTCTAATTGACCTGAACAGGTTCCCTATTCTAAAGTTGCCTCCTCTTCATACTTTGTAAATACATTATAGCACACAACTACTGAAATTAACCTCAACAGTACATGAACAAAGTAGGCTCACGTTGAAATATCTGTTTTATTAATGAACCACTATAGAGAGGTTCAGACACATACCAAAACATGTCAAGTTTCTCCAAGGCTGAGAACACATAATGCAGCCTGTACTTTTTAATAAAAACAGATTTTTACCAGAGTTTATGTATTTGTGATCATGTGTGACCTGCTTGTATGTACTTACACAATAGGTGTACTGTTCTCTCTATTTGTTGTACTGTCTCAGTGTGAACATCAATCAATCAATCAATGTTTATTTATATAGCCCAATATTACAAATGTTACATTTGTCTCAGTGGACTTCACAGTTTGTACAGAATATCAGTATGACAATACGACACCCTCTGTCCTTAGACCCTCACATCGTACAAGGAAAAACTTCCAGAGAAAACCCACAGTTTAAAGGGAAACATGGGAGAAACCTCAGGGAGAGCAACAGAGGAGGGATCCCTCTCCCAGGACGGACAGACGTGCAATAGATGCCGTGTGTAAATCGAAGAGATAATACATGATATAGCATAGGTAGACCAAATGTTTGGAAATGCATGTGTCTATAATAAGAAGATGAATCCACGAGGATGTCAACAAGCCTGTGGGAGCCATCAGGGAAGTAGTATGATGAGAGTCAGGCAGGACCGCAGAGACAGGTTCAGCCACGACTCGAAGTCCAGGACTCAGGATAGAGGATCCAGGACACAGGACCACAGCAACAGGATCAGCCATGACTCAGGATCCCGGCGTAGATATACACACCAAAAAGAAATGTGGGGGAAGCTGGGTTATTCGGAACATGAGAGTACACAGACAGACGGAAGGAAGAAGTAAGGTGTACCCTGACAGTCCAAGCCTATAGCAGCTAAACTAACGTGTCTACGTACATGCACTCCCTTAGGATAGGTTGAGGGATAAGGGGTAGCAAGTAAAAAGTAAGGAACAGAGGTGGAGCCACATAGATTACAGCCAGCCAGCCAAACTCTTTTGAGAGCCAGGGAATGAGCAGCCATGCTCCTTTATTGACTTTTTTGCAGTCCACTGACATGCAAACGGAGTGAAACTATAAAAAAAGAAGTTACAAGGCACTTAATGATCTCATACATGCAAGTGTAACATAGCCTATACAGATTACTTGTAGAATATGGTCATGTAGAATAAGGCATTAATAAGTGTTTAATAATGACTAATAAAGAGCCAATATACTGCTAATATGCATGTTAATTAACAACTAGTTGATGTTGAATTTGTGTACCTTAATATAAAGTTGTACTGCTTATATGATGAACATTGATGTCTATGTGCCTTATTCTGTCTATCTGATAGTGAACTGTAGCAGATATGACCGTTATCGTCCTCATGTGGCCAGTTTAGTCAATATATTGAGATAGCTAAGTCAATATATCGAGATAGTAAGTCAATATATTGAGATAGCTAAGTCAATATATTGAGATAGTAAGTCAATATATTGAGATAGCTAAGTCAATATATTGAGATAGTACGTCAATATATTGAGATAGCTAAGTCAATATATTGAGATAGTAAGTCAATATATTGAGATAGTAAGTCAATATATTGAGATAGCTAAGTCAATATATTGAGATAGTAAGTCAATATTGAGATAGCTAAGTCAATATATTGAGATAGTAAGTCAATATATTGAGATAGTAAGTCAATATTGAGATAGCTAAGTCAATATATTGACTTACAGGATTTTTTTTTTTTTTTTCCTGTGGCGCAAACAGGCTTCCATAGTTTCACCCCTAATTTAGAGGCACAAAGCACTACTTGCTGGCAACAGCAAAATAAAGTTTTTTGAGTAACTTTAAAAATGTTTCTGGATTTATTCATAACATTAAAAAACATCTTGCTTCTGATGATAATAATATTCTACGATTTAAAATCAATCGCTGGAACGGTTCAAATATGGTGTTTTAATTTGCTTAGTTTCAACCTGCCAATACAGTATGATGCCAAGCAGCTGCGAGATAATCCAATGAACCAAACCTCTGGTAAAAAAATTATCTGATTACACGTGGAGTGCAAGGTTCTCCAGAAACAAACTGGTTTCAGGATGTGAAGCATATTCCGACAGGGTTACCAATAATGAAAGCAGCAGAACAAGGTAAACTTGGTCAAGTTGGTCATGGCGGTGAAGTTAGTTAAAGGTTGGATAGTTGACAAACAAACTCTTCAGGTTCACAGACTGACGAACTGAGGACGGTTTGTTTACATCCACATTTCATTTAGAGACAATCAATGAATTAACGTTTGAATGACACAAAACCAGTAATATAGTTCCAATACCTCAGTCAGTGGTAACATTGAGTTATAATACAATTATAATGTGGCACACCTTTTTGATTAGGCTACTAATGTGTACTAACAGGACAAAACACAGGTCCTCTGCCTGTCAATCATTGATGATAAAGGAAACACGTGCATGAGTGTTTTCATTATTAGGAAACATGTTCGTTGTCAAAGCTTGTTAGCATATTGCTGTAATAACGCTCATATGCCGGAAGGGGGCAGTGTAGTTCCATAATGTTGCTAAGAGCGAGCTCTAATGGACCATGTTACTGTACACGCACTATACTTCATGAATTGAATAGAAAAGAATAGGGCTGCAACTCACATTTTTTAAAATTTCAGATCATTGATCAATTGTTGGTCTATTAAAATGTCAGAAAACAGTATTAAAAGTCATCCCAGTTTGTCAAAGTCAATGGTAATGTATTTTAATGTATTGTTGTTTCAGTTTCCAAAACCTAAAGATATGTTTAAAATGATATGATACAATTTCCAAAATAAATAAAATATAGCAGAGCAGAGACATTTCGATATTATTGTATGACATTTTGGCATGGAAAATTACCTGAATGACTATTTGATTGGATGACTAATCTAATAAAACAGAATCGATTTTTTTTTTTAAATGGGAAAAGTTCTAAATGATAACGTTTTTATATACCACCACCACCACCACTACTAATATGATTACTGCTAACAACAATCATTCTTATTTATGATACAAGTAATGAAGTAATATAGCAATTAATCAAGGCAGGTGATCTACTAAATTAGGATAATAACACGATTTACATTTATTTGGGTTATTACCCCCTCCTCTCCCCATAAACCGCTCCAAATTTGTCCTGCTCGCTGATTGGTGCGCGCTCTGATTGGTCTGCTCGATGATTGGCTGAAAGTTCCGTTCTCGGACAGTCAGTCGACGTAGTTTGTTTTCTCGCCTGCGGCTGAAGTTTGGACCGTGAGCCGCTGCTGAAGGCAATGTGGATATTGTATTCAGGATTTCATTTTATAGTGTGTGAACGGTAATCCAAACCTGCGGGAAAAGTAGATACAGTTTGGTATTTTTTCTCTTTTGCTTTTCGTCTTATCCCGGCTCTATGAGGGGTGTCCCTCGGAACGGTTTACATGCGGACTGTCAGAAATACTACAGCCTCACGTGTTTGAATTTAGCTTACATTTGATATATCTTTTTCTATATTAACTCGCATTTTCGCTCTCGGAGCCACAGCCTGTGCACACTTTGTCAAAGTCGACTTCATTCAAGACTTGTTGACTTGCGTTTCGGTGGCAGGCGTCTACTTACAGTACGTTTGTATTTTATTCTGGGTTTGAAAAGCGGATTAAGATATCGCAGTCATAAACTCATTGGAGAGGAGGTGAAGGATTGCTCGGCATGATATACGTGCAGGTCATCAGAGGGTAACACTGTGGAGATCTCGTCACTTTTTAAAGTAAGTAGCCTATGCCTTTATTTACAAACCAAGTCCCATTAATATCATGTATAGGCTACTGATGTCCTAATGCATATATGTTGCTCTTTAGAGTGAGTACAAACTTTCATGTTTACTTTGGTCTTTATTCTACAATTTAAGTTACTGAGACTTGTTTTGCCCACTAACAGTAAACGTCCAATATAGAGTTTAATTTACTTATTTCAATATAATAATGATAATAACTTATAGCGGAGCCCTTTAATTTTGCAATATCTCTTTAGAACAGTTATAACATAGTACAGCACATATGCACCATGTATTTCTACATGTATTAAGTACTTACAGTACTTTCACACAATACAATATGTTTTAAAAAGGGAAATTGAACATGCCATAATGCAGGTGAATGGGTGGGGTTATGATCTAGGTTTTTTTATTAATTGGCATACATTAATGATTTGATTTGATTTGAACAGTGATACATTTAAATTAATTATATCGCCAATCTAGAACATCATAATGCAAGCAATCACAGGTTTGGGGCTCACTTTCTTTTAAAGCACCATTGACTATTTAATATGAAACCACTTGCTTTCTTTGATTTTTATTGGACATTTTGGGAATAAAGATTGCTCATCCAGTTAGATAAGTACATACTTATTCACTTGAAAACATGACTAAACCTGACTTTGGTAGGGTGGAAATCTGCTCTTTGATAGCCACAAATCAAATCAATTATCCAGCACTTATAAGTGTGCAGTTTTTCTGGGGGAACTGAGACGCTGAGTTTGACAGATGCTGATCAAAGATACAACATGCGAAGAACTGAAATAAGATCTCATAAGGTTCACAAAAGAATTTATGTGGCGGAGAGATTAAAACCACTGTAAGGAGAGACATGTGGACAGGTGGACCGAATAAATCTCTAAGGAAAATAGTTTGACTTCGAGAAAAAAACGTGCCCTATAGCATTATGATGGATTTGTAGCGGTTTTCAGCCAGATGATGGACAACTTATTCTATTCTGACTACTGTGAACTCTTGTAGACCCAGATAAGGTTTAGAAGGTAAAAAGCAATATGAATGAATAGAGGAGATGAAGTAGAATTTTGGAAGTGAGTGTGTTTATTCCTTTATCTCCTATTAAACGTCTAACTTTTAGAAAACTTAATACAGGGAGATTTTAAAACATCTGGATATAGGAAAGAAACACACACATATCTCTCAGTTTGGTTTAGGAACAAAAAGCCTATGTGATGACTTTCCTTTATTGAGGAATTATTTTCTACAAAGATGCTCCTAGTTATTGTCTGAAGTTTAAGGCAGTTTTTTTTTTACAATAATGCTCACCAGCTATGAGTCAATTGGAAGTTTGTATTCCTTGCCACAGCAGCTATTTTGACATAAAGTCATAAAGTAAACAACTCATTAGTGAAATAATAAGTTTGGCTCGTAGATTTTTTAGAAATGAATAGACTCTTGCAGTTTTGATTTACTGTATTTACACTGATGTAATGTGAAGATTAAAATGCATGTTCTACTAATTACTCAGTATCTCCTTAATAAAGATATATCACCTGTAATCTTTTCAAAATGCAACTTCAAGAAACTTCATTTCCTTTTATTTAAAGAAGCTGATCGTTCTTCCTGAAAATTAAACCTAAATGGATCTTCTCTGGGTCTTCCTGCTGCTGGAGGTGTTTCTGACGTCCGCTGCTGCCAGGGGTGAGTAACAGAAGCCCTGATTTCCACTGACACTCGGAGCATTACAGTCATCCATGCCAGCAGTAAGATAAATCACGCCCGCTGACATGACTCAGTGGCGGCACTTGTAAAAGTGTCTTCCAAAAGTTCAGCCGGAGTCATTTTTCCGTAGTTACATTTACTATTTTTGCATTCTTGCTGTCACACTGCTGTTCTAAAGTCAGGAGGACGGTAGCAGGAGTGTCTCTGTCTTTTTCCTCTTTCCGTCACCTGGACGTTGATAGTATGCTTTGTAAAACATTGTGCTTTTTAAGCATTTATATACATTGGGTCTTTCTGCATTGATACATTTGCTCAGATATTGGAATATCTGCAGATATTTGTCCTTGGTTGAACTTTACTCAATGAATGCCTTTGCTCTTTGGATAGTCAGTGAACCTTTGACTTCGGCTGCTATTCAGTCACTGTCAAGTATTCTTGCACCCGCCTGGGACTTTCACATTTGTAGTGTGGTTTTCTACATCCTGCTTATTTAGCAAAGATGCTACCTTGTTGGCTGTGTGGTACAATTCAGTATTTCTATTCTAAATTGAAAAGCCCCACAGGGGACTTCAGTGGCCAGGGTCAGTCACAGAGCAGTATCCTCGGTACTTGGCATGATACTTTGTTTCTTTAATTGAAACTAAAACAAAAAGCTACAGAAGCTGTACATAGATGAGAACAAAACCCAGCCTGCAGGCTTAATGGGCAGACTGTCGCCGTGCTAGCGCCCGCTCCCGAGATCACGCCAATGATGAGTTTTCAGCGGGAAGAAAGCAGCATTCAGCGAGGCGAGGCGGAGCCAGCGTGCAGACACGGGGCCGAAAGTAAACACAGGCCCATAGACCGCAAAGAGATGAGATTAGATTAGCCTATTAGGGATGTTTGCTGTGCAATGCTACAGCATTTACTCCCCCTCACCGCCTGCAGTTTGTCATTGAAACCAGGGCAGGCTGCAGAGAGAGACAGAAGAAGGGGGTGCAGGGGAGGCAAGAGGAGAGAGATGGAAAGAAAAAGGACTCTGGACATTAGACTGGAGTCATATTTGATGAAGGAGGGAAAGGAAAAGAGGAACTAGAGGGAAGAGTGAGGAAGGAAGGAATGGACAAGGGAAGGAAACAGATTATAGGAAGGGGTGTGAGAGAGAGGACAGGAGAGCATGGAGAGGACAGAGGGGACAAAATGCTCTAATTTACCTATTAGGAGCTATGTTCTCCTTTATCTGTGATTGGCTGGACTCGGGTTGCCGGACAGATCTAATCTCTTTGTGAAAATGTAAAGATCTATCTAAAGCTACTGTGAAATGTTGAAGAAAACATTTCTCTTCGGTTCCATGTTTGCCAAATGTAGTATTGTGTTTTGTTATCTGTGTTGTTATCTGTTACAATGACTGAAGACTATAAAGTGGCAGGCCAAAGGCATTTATACAGGATGCGTGTGGAGTGGGACGCTGGGCTTTAGTGGCCTTGTGGTCTGAGGTTCATACCATGTAATTGTGAATTTGTGGTTTTTGTATTCGAGTAATGCAGGAAGTCATCTGTTCTCTGTCTGTATCTCGTCTCAAAGTTTAATGTTTAACAGAAAAGCTGAATAATCTGATAAAAGAATGCAGGAAATTGCAGATTTTTTACCGATTTTGTAAAAAGCAGGAGTTTGATCTTTGATTATTTGAGGCAAACTCAACCAAATCCTGCAAGATTTACCTGCAATTATCCCCTGGATTGAATTTGATATACATTAAACAATTCAAGGTAGTCGATGTTAAGCAAAATCAATGTGTTAGTCCAACAAGCTTGCAGGCAGTAAAGGGCATCTGCCAGTGGCCCCAGTGCAAAAGCTGTCAGGGAACAACTCAGAAACAAGCAAGTCTGCAGTATATCACTTAAGCTGGAAAAAAGCTTATATCAAATCGACCAAAAACTGTAAATAAGACAGCCTTTGGAACGGTAAACAATATATGATTTACAACTGTTACCAGTTATTCGCTGTCATTTGGGAAGGAAAAATATACTTAAGTTACTGAAGAATTAATTCAGAACAGTTTTACAGATGAAATGGGTACAACATGTTATACGACAGTGGACAAATCAAATAGAAGCTAATGAGGACAAGCCTCCTCTCATAGTCCTCCCCTTGTCCTGTTCTCCACTGCACTCTAAGAAATGACTTACAGAAACAGTTTTATTAGGGATTTGGTAACTACTGATGTGTCCCAGAGTAACATGCATACTGGAGAGGGGTTACTCAGGGCAACTGTGTAAACAATGAACAATAAATAGCTAAATATCATAAGACGCATTTGGACATGATTTGAAAACATGAACTCTTTTGTGGCGTTATCTCGTCTCTGCAACCGCTTTTGCACACACTGCATTCAGTCACAATAAATATAATTCTGCTACTGTTTAAATCCAGAGAGTACTCTCCAATAACTTCTTTATAATTGCACTAAAATACTGCAGTGTGACTCAAGCCTTAAAGAAAGAGCAAAAAATAATTCCTTTAATGATTGGATGCGAGAAAGGCCAAATGTAAAATAGATTTGTTATAACTTATAAGTTACTTCTCCCTGGGTGTTTTGGGAGTCTGTGAGTGCTGAGCATCAGATGGCACTGAAGGCAGTTTTCCACTGCGTGTGCCGATCAGCGAATGTAAGCAGGAACAGTGGGAATGCTAAAAGCTTTGTTGGATCTCTGCAGATGAAGAGAAAAAATAAGAGATTGAGGGCTGGAACAGGACAGAACGAGTGGAAGAGATATAGATAAAGAGAGGAAAAGGGAAGCCAAAGAGAAGGAACAGGATGCAGACAGAGATTAGCCTCCAGATAGGAACAGAAAGATAAAGACGCAACATTTATGCCCCTTATTACAGCAGAGAGTCACATAAACCACACACACCAGAGGCTTACACAACCCTGCTGTGTGAACCAGTGTCTGGGCCTCTGTGTGCATGTGTGTGTGCGTGTGTGTGGCTGAGCATGAGACTGAGCAGCTGAGAGATTAGCATTCTCCGCTGTTAGCTGAACAACATTGAGCTTGAATGCAGAGGTCATAGACTAGCAGTAGGCCAAAGCATTGTGGGCTACCTGCAACTCCAGACAGAGGTATGCAGCATTTCCACCGCATGGTAGAGTACCAATCCACTCAACTTGCTTGGCACAGTTCATTTTTGGGGATTACTAATTGTGAAAGTTGTGGATATTACCTCATACCTTATTATTTTTCACCTCTGTCAGGGTTCTAAAGAAGTATCACTTTTAGAAGCTGCAGACTGATTGGTCAGATAGATGTCCCTTGCGAGACATGGTATGCTGTGTCCTGCAAAACAATCCCATTATAAATGACAAAACTACCATCTTTACCATCTACAATCTCTTTCACTTAACAGAGATTTATAAATTGGTATCCCGCAAACATCAGTCTATTAGGTGGCAAATGCAAGGATCTATTCTTGAGGATGATGTCAGGGAAATTTCATTATGATCGTCCCACTTCATTAAGTGCAAATTAAATCTTGATATGTAGCTCAATAATTGGATGCCTGTGAACAATGTGCCGTTCTTATACTATTTACACTGAATAGTTTTTCATCCGAGAAAATGTTCCATTTCTCTTTCTTTAACATCATATGCAATTTTAGCTTGCCGTAAAGCCAAATCACAATATTGCACCAACAAGTACAGCTTCCAGGACATTTTTCTCTATTTTCCAAATCAACCCGAAATCTATCAATCAATCAATCAATGTTTATTTATATAGCCCAATATCACAAATGTTACATTTGTCTCAGTGGACTTCACAGTTTGTACAGAATATCAGTATGACAATACGACACCCTCTGTCCTTAGACCCTCACATCGTACAAGGAAAAACTTCCAGAGAAAACCCACAGTTTAAAGGGAAAAATCTAAAAAACCCGAAATCTAAATACCTTTACCTCCGTTCTGTCTCTGGGCCGATGATAATGGAGGTGGTTTGTGGGGATTGAAATACCAAATAACATAAGACATTGCATTGCACAGATTAAAAGTTGTTTATTTCTCAGTGGTTTTGTTTCTGTTTGCCATCTCACACACAAACATACATTAACTGTGAATGTGATGTGAAATGCCAAGTGTATGTCAGATGGTTATCAGCATGATGGTATTTATGTAAACCAAACAACTGCAACAGTTTGGATAATAATTATAATGTAATTATTGAAGTTACTCCAGGACAGATTTTAATGTTGTCTCCGCCACAACCTACAGCAAGTATATCACATCCATCATGTCTGCCTCTTCTACACTAATCCTTTGAAGCAGATTCAGAAAAGAAAGCATATACCAAAAAGTTAGATGATAAATGTGGGTTTGTGTGCATTGTCTAAACAATGACATGTGTTCCATTAGACCACCCATTTCAGAGGGAGTGAGAGGAAAAAGATGAGAGGGTTCACTTGTTGTATTACCAAGTGTAAAGAGCCACAAACACATTAAAAATCCATCGTCACTTTATCGAAGCTGCCAAAAAACAGAGATGCACCAAAGAAACAGAGAGACAAGAGAGCATCGTCTCTGCAAACAGTGCAGAGTGTAAACAGCCGATACACACATGCTGAAAACATATACAACTAGAAGATGCTAGCCATAAATATGACCTAACACATGTAAGCACACACACACACAAACCCACAACCACACACACACACATAGCCCACAATCACTTAACAACCTCCTGTCCCACACACTCATTACTGAGGAATGTAATTAGCATGCTAACACTAACAATGATGGGTAGGAGAGAATTGTGGTTAGGTAAAAAGCGCTGGAGGAGGAGGCACACAGTCATCGGAGAAGCTATGGATAGTAGAGTTTTAAGCTTTTGTAAAAGTAAGGCGACTTCCTATGAAGACGCTCAGTAAATAGGAGAGGTGTCCGTGGTTTCAGATAACTGTTCCGTCTCTAATTTTCCCTGTTCCATTTACCTGCTTGGACATCAAGC